AACCTCAAAGGGAAAGGGGGAGGGAGGACGGGATGATATAAACCAAAGAATTTCTATGCATATATACATAACCAATGGACACAAACAATAGTGTGAGAAAGGCAGGAGGAGGGGGGATTGAGGAGGAGTTGCCAATGAGGAAAAAAAGGGGGACATCTGTAATACATTCAACAAAAAAGATGAGTTTTTTTTTTTAAAAAAAAAAAAAGGTCAACAACAACAAAAAAATAAAATAAACACACTTGAATATAAACTTTCGTTAGAAAAAAATAACATGGAGCCATGGAAAGGCACTTATAGCTGTTACTCAGGGAAGTCAATGAGTTAAGAGTCCTGGAAGGTACTAACCCATTTAGGCAGTCAAGAGACAGAAATGAGATGTTTAAAATTTGGAAAATCTAAATGTAAACAAATTATTGGTAGGTGATATGATTATATTCCCGGGGAATTCAAGAATATCAATTGAAAAGCTTTCATATGCTTGAATACAGTAAATGGCTGCATACAAAATTGATATAGAGAAATTTAGCCTTCATTTATACAAATAATGTGTTAGAAGATATCATAGAACAAGAGAGTTCATTTACCATAGTAACAACAAAAAATAAAAACTATCTGGATATATACTTATAGAAGAATATACAAGAACTATATAAAAACTTTAAGATGTTTCTGAAGGACACACACATACCTGAACAAAAAGAAAGGTATATCATATTCTCAGACAGGAATACAGTGTTAGTGAAGATAAGCTAGATTTTGCTGTTTTAACAAATAACTCTCAAATCTTAGTGACTAAAAACAAAATTTTACTTGCTGCTCATACTACAAATCCATCATGGCTCAGGAGGGGGAGCTTCATTGTATACTTTCAGAAACACAGGCTAACAGAAAAGTCATCACCTTAAACGTTGTAGATTATCATGCCAGAGGAAAAGGAGACTCTGAAGGATCTCAAACTGACAGAAATGACACACATCTCATTGACAAGTACTGGCAAACATTATGATGACTATGACAAAGATTCAGCTAAAACTGCAGTAAATAACATGGAATAGAAGTGACTTGTCTGTATGTAATCAGTAAAAAAAAAAAAAATACAAAGTCCTGTATGGACCTAATTGATACAATAATTTTTTTAAAATCTTTTTTTCTTTATTGATTTGAGAGAGAGAAAGTTAGAAGCATTGATGAGAGAGAACATCGAACACCTGCATTGCCCACACTGGGGATTTGGCCCACAACCTGGGCATGTGTCCTGACTGGGAATTGAACCGATGACCTCTTAGCGCATGGATTGATGCTCAGCCAGTGAGCCATACCAACCGGAGATACAGTAATTTATGATGAAGATACATTCAAATCAGTAAGGGGGAAACTAGATTTTTGTTGTTGTTAATCCTCCCCCGAGGATATTTTTCCATTATTTTTTAAGAGAGTGGAAGAGAGAGAGACAGAGACACACACATATTGATTGGTTGCTTCCTACACACACAAGCCTAACTGGGGTTGAACCTGCAACCCAGGTACATGCCCTTGACCAGAATCGAACCCACAATTCTTCTGTCTGCAGTCCAACACTCTAACCACTGAGCCAAATCAGCCAGGGTGAGAGGTAGATTATTTTGTAAATAGTGGTGGGTCAACTGGGTAGCCATGTTGAAAAAAACAAACATCCATATCCTTCACAACAGAAAGTTGTGAATCGAAGACTTAAATGTAAAACTAACCAAAAACCTAATATCCAACCATAAAAGTACAAGAGACCTAGAAATGATTTTTAAAAATAAAAATTTTCTACAAAGCAAAAAGCACCAAAAGTCAAAACACAAACAAGTGGGGAAAATTTGACAATTTATATCACAGACAGGGACTACTTTTCCAAATATTTTAACAGATCCCCCAAATCAACATTTTTTTTTTTTTTTTTTTTTTTTTTGGTATGTGCTTCTAGCAGGAACCAAACCCCGGGCTCCCTGGTCTGCAGGCTGATGCTCCAACTGCTGAGCCAAACCGGCCAGGGCTTTTTAAAATCAATTTTAAAAAGAAAGTTGACAACCCAATTGAAAAATGGACGAAGTATTTTAATGTTGTATGAAATATATGTGGCTCTTAAGTCTAGGAAAGATGCTTAACCTCATCCATAATAAAAGTAGTGACAATTAGCCCTGGCTGGTTTTGCTCAGTGGTTAGAGCGTCAGCCCATGAACCAATGAGTTGCGGGTTTGATTTCAGTCAAGGTCACAAACCTCGGTTTCGGTTTGTCCCTGGTCCTGGTACGGGTCGTGTGGGCAATTAACCTGTCAATGTGTCTCTCTCACATCGATGTTTCTCTCTCTTCCTCACTCCCTCCCTCCCACTCTGTCTGAAGATAAACAGAAAAATATCCTCAGGTGAAGAATAAAAAAAAGTAGTGACAATTAAAGCAGAGAAATACCATATTTAATCTATTATGTTGGCAATGAACCAAAAAAATGATAATAGTTCATGTTAGTCTTGATATGGGGAAATACTATTTTATAACACTGACCAATAAGTAAATTGTTACAACCTCTTTGAAGAACAATTTGACAAAAATCTATCACAATTACAAAACACTTACCCTTTGATCCAGAAATTCTGCTTCTAGGAATATACATACATATATGTGTGTGTACATGATTATTCATAGAAGTATATTTTAATAATGCAAAATGCTGAAAACAACACAAATATCCATCAGAGGTTAAGTAAATTCTGGTAAATCCAGACTTTGAATACTATGGAGTCATAAAATGAGTGAGTAGGCTCTTTATATACTAATACCCAAGTTATCTAATACTTAATATCTAAGCAAACATAATAACTTTAAAATATGAAAAGAGGGATAAAAGAGATATGTAGTCCTGGCCAGTTTGGCTCAGTGGGTAGAGCATCAGCCTGTGGTCATGAGAGACCCAGGTTAGGTTCCCACCAGGGTACGTACCTCGGTTGCAGTTTGTCCCCAGGCCTGGTTGGGTCATGTGGGAGGCAGCCACTTGATGTGTCCCTTTCACGTCGATGTTTCTCTCTCTCTCTCTTCCTCTCCCTCCCTCCCACTGTATCTAAACAAAAAATGGAAAAATGTCCTCAGGTGAGGATAAAAAAAAAAGCATATGTACTTTTCTACATATGCAGAAAATGTTTCTAAATGGACATAATTTGTAGCCCTGAGGGAGAGGCCTAATGGCTAGGGATAGGACTATTAGGGGTGTTTTTCACTCTACCTCATTTGTATTTTTAAAATATTGTGCCAGGTGAATGTACTACTTATTTAAAAATTTTTAAATATAACAAAGGAGCCCTGGCTGGTTTTGCTCAGTGGTTAGGGCATTGGCCCGTGGACCAAAGAGTCCCAGGTTCAGTTCCTGCTAAGGGCACGTACCTCGGTTGCAGTTTGGCTCCAGCCCTAGTTGATGTCGTGTGGGTGGCAACCAGTCAGTTGATGTGTCTCTCTCGCATCGATGTTTCTCTCTCTCTCTATCTGAAGATGAATGCAAAAGTGTCCTCGGGTGAGGATTAAAAAAAATTATATATATAGATATATAACAAAGGAAAAAAAGACATAAGAGAACTGGAAATTGACCAGAAAAATGTTATTTTAAATTCTCAAGTGGATTAACAAAACAACAACTAGGAATATTCAGTTTAGAAAGAACACACTAAAGACAGGTATAGAGTAAAATATTTTCCAACAGATCTCAGATTGTTTAAGCTTTGAAATGGAAAGTTATGGTTATATCTTGAGTAAGTCTTTCTTTTGCGACGTTTTTGTTTGTTTGTTTTTGGTTGTTGTTTTTTTTTTGTATTTATCTTCAGATAGAGTGGGGGAGAGAGAGGCAGGAAGAGAGAGAAACATTGATGTGAGAGAGACACATCATGAGCCAGGGACAAACTGCAACCAAGGCATTTGCCCTTAGCGGAAACCGAACTGGGGGTCTCTGGTCCGTGAGCTGACGCCCTAACCACTGAGCAAAACTGACCAGGGTGTACCTTGTTGTTTCAATCCTTAGTTATCAAATGAATTCTGTCCTCAAAAATGTAAATTTCATGAGAACAGGGTACTTTGTTTTATTCACTGCTAGCTTCTAGAACAATGCTCCGCACATAGTAGGCATTCAGTAAATATCTGCTGAATAAATAACACAATTGTTCCTATAATTAATGATAACCTCTTCTATTATAGGTTTTAGTTTAGCTTCTTGTAATTTAAGGTTTAAAAAGTTCCCCAAAATAATAGGTTGGTAACCTCAAAACACAAATGCTAAGGATGGCAGGCCAGTTGTCACTTTCTCTAATCTATTTCTGATATTTGCAATTTTTAAAAATCAGGATGAGGACCTGTTTCTTCCAGGTAACTCCAGCAGTCAAGTTGCCGTGGCAACACCTTGAATATTACCTGCCATATCCCCCCTGGTGAACCCAAGATGATGTAAGAAATTCAGAATAACTGGAAGCATTTCTAAACTTTTGAAGTTGGTATTTTGGAGACCAGACATAATCCACCAAATTTATCTTAGCATCTCTGCCAGAGATATATATAGATGAAATGGATCATGTTATATGATATTTCTTATTTCCTAAAAAATATCTCCTTTTGCTATCTTTTTTCTTTAATTAATTTTAGAGAAAGAGGAAGGGAGAGGGAGAGAGAGAGAGAGAGAAACATTGATGAGAGAGAACGACTGGCCACCTCCTGCATGCCCCCCCCCCCCGGGGATTTGGCCCACAACCTGGGCATGTGCCCTGAGCGTGAATCAAACCAGTGACCTCTTGGTGCATGGGTCGATGCTCAACTACTGAGCCACACCGGCCAGGCTCCTTTTGCTATCTTAAATAGGCTTCCATCCCATAGACCTGCCATAAGAAAATCTATTAGAACATCTGATCTGACAAATATGTATATACTTAAAGGGCAATGATGGAGGATGTTTGACATCAAGACTAACCCAGAAATCTGGACATGTAATAGTTACATCTACCTTGCACGCTGGATCAGCCTATAGGCAATGTACTTGCGGAATAGGTAACCCAGCCGAACTGTGTCTGTATGAAGTGTCTCAATTATGAGATTTCTAGCTGTTGTATGTAGCTCTGAAGGTAGTCCAGAAGTTTTTGTGGTCTGATTTAAGAGTATCAGGTTCTTTCTCTGAGCATTCACATCAACAAAATACCTCTGCTCTTTAAGTTCTTGGAGAGGGAAAGGGGGTACCATCATCCTGGGTTTCTTGGTATCTGAAACTGAAGTCAGTATGCAGGGCTTGTTTATAGGAGGGAATTGGGATTTCCAGTCCCATTCAGAAGGTGAAATCTGTGATCTTTTGGGTAATTGAGCAGTAAGAGAAGATAATGATGTTATAGGCTTCATGAGAGTGGGAAGGGCCCCCTCATCAATGTAAGGGGTTTGTGATGCTGGTGTCCTATAATTGGTGAGATAGGACGGAAATGTCCTAAATTGTTCCATGGCAAAAGAATCGTGGAGTATCTGGATTTCTTCAGAAGTGTCAGAGACCTCTGATATTTGGAACTCCTTAGTGGTGAAAGGGGCTTGAGGTACCTTGAAATTTGGATCACTGGGATGGACCAAGGCTGATTTAGATTTCAGAGAAGAAATAATTTCCAATTTTTCCTTAGTTTTCTTAGATATAGAAGAGGACAAATCTTTCTGGGGCTTTCCAGGGGTTGAGGGAGCCCATAGTGTTGGGGGATGCCCAGAAGTGGGGGAGATCCATAGTGGGAAAGCTTGCCCAGGAAGGGTCGGTGGTGCCAGAACCTGCCCGAGGGTAGAAGGGGCTTGTAGATAGGGAGATTGCTCACAGGTGGTAGGGAGTGGAAATGTCTGGGGCTGCCCAGAGAGGGTTATGGGTATAGATTCCCCATGGATAGAAGAGGATCCAGGAACCAAGGGCTTCCCAGGAGAGAAAGGATCCCAGAGAGTGGGAATCTGTGAGGAGGTGGGTGGAACTCCAGATATAAGGGACTGCCTGGTGGCAAGAGGGACCTTTGCTGTTTGAGGTGACTGGGGAGTCAGAGTCTCCCTAGGTATGAGGAACTGCCTAGAACTAAGAAGGGAATTCAGTGTAAGGGGCTGCCCAGGAGTAGGTGGGGCCCCAGATATTGGGAGCTTCCCAGGAGTGGGAGGGACCTCTGGTGCTAGGAACTGCACAAAGGTGGATTGATCCTTAGAAACTAGTGTTTGTCTAGAGGAAGGAAAAATCTGTGTTTCCAGGAGCTTCCTAGGGTCAGAAGGAATCCCCATTCCTAGGGATCTCCCAGGGACAAAGGGGGCTTGGGTAAGGGGAGATCTTGATATCTGCAAAGGAGTAGAAGAGACCTCAAATATAGGGGACTTCTCAGTAATAGGAGCAGATGATGCCAGGGACCACCTAGTTCCCGATGTAATGGATTGCCCAGAGGAGAGAGAAGTCTTTGATTCTTGAAATGGTTTAAGAGCAGAAGGAGCTGATATGGGGGACTGCTTAGGAATGTAAGGAGCACTTGGTTTGATGGATTTATCAGTAATAGAAAAGCTCCCAACTTCCAGAGTATGTCCTAAAGAAGGACCAGCCCAGAGCTGTGAAAACTGCTTATTAATGGGAGGAGCTCTTGACTTTAGGCCCTGCTTAGACATGTGAGTAATACCCATGGGCTGGGCCTGTCTTGGAGTGAAGGGAGCTCCCAAAGGTTGAACTTGCTCAGGGGTAGGGGGAGAGCCTAAGACATGGGCTTTATCTGAGGTGAGAAGGGCTCCCAAAGACTCAGTCTGTTCAGGGCCAAGAGTGACAGCTGATACTAAGGCATTTGGGGGGATAATGGGGACTCCCAATGCCTGGGCCTGATTCAGAGTGAAAGGGGTACCAAATGACTGAACCTGTTCATGAGAGGGAGTGACTCTCAATGCTTGATTCTGCTTAAGAGAAAGAGTGTTTGATACTTCCTGAACTATTTCTGGAGTGATAGAGACCCCCAATTTCCAGGCCTGTTCTGTAGTGAGAGAGGTCTCTAATGCCTGAGCCTGGTCAAGGGTAAGTGGGACCCTCAATGCTTGTTCCTGCTCAGGGGTGAGGGTGATACCCACTGCTGGAGCTTGTTCATGGGATTTGTTGATATCCCAAATCTGCGCTTTCTCAGGAGCAAGAGTGGACACCAGTGCCCGTGCCCATTCTGGAAGAGGGTCCTGCAACGCCTGTGTCTGCTGTGGTGTGACAGTGACTCCCAGTGACTCGTCTTGACTTTCAGTGATAGGAATATCAAATATCTGGGCCTGTTGAGTAGTTACAGGTATCTGCATTGCCTGGCTCTGTTCTGAAGTGACAGATACCTTTAGGGTCTTGCCCTGGTTAGGGGTAATAGGGGCCCTCAATGTCCAGTCTTGTTGGAGAATGACAGGAGCCCTTAATGCTTGGACTTGTTCAGGTGTGAGTGTGATTCCCAAACCCTGGGATTTTTCAGGAGTGAGGGTAGCCATCAATGCCTTGAACTGTTCAGGGATAAGAGTAATGTCCTGTGCCTGTGCCTGCTGAGGGGTGACAGTGATTCCCTGGGCCTGGTCAGAGGATAGAGTGATGCCCTGGGCCAGGGCCTGCTGAGGAGAGACAGGGACCCCAAGTGCCTGGGCCTCCTCAGGGGTGAGATGGATCCCCAGGCCCTTGGCATGTTCATGGATGACAGTTATCCCCTGTGTTTGGACCTGCTGAGGTGTGACAGTGGTTCCCAGTGCCCTATCCGGCTGAGGAATGGAACATATCCCTTGGGCCAGGGCCTGCTGAGGGGTAAGAATGATGCCCAGTGCCTGGGCCTGTTCAGAGGAGAGTGTGATGCCCTGGGCCTGGGCCTGTTGAGGGGTGAGAGTGATGCCCAGTGCCTGGGCCTGTTCAGAGGAGAGTGTGATGCCCTGGGCCGGGGCCTGCTGAGGGGTAAGAGTGATGCCCTGGGCCTGGGCCTGGGCCTGCTGAGGGGTGAGAGTGATGCCCTGGGCCTGGGCCTGTTCAGGAAAGATTGTGATGCCCTGAACCTGGGCCTGCTGAGGGGTGAGAGTGATGCCCTGGGCCTGGGCCTGTTCAGGAAAGATTGTGATGCCCTGAACCTGGGCCTGCTGAGGGGTGAGAGTGATGCCCAGTGCCTGGGCCTGTTCAGGGGAGATTGTGATGCCCTGAACCTGGGCCTGCTGAGGGGTGAGAGTGATGCCCAGTGCCTGGGCTTGCTCAGGGGTGACAGTGATGCCCTGGACCTGGGCCTGTTGAGGGGTGAGAGTGATGCCCTGGGCCTGGGCCTGCTGAGGGGTGAGAGTGATGCCCTGGGCCTGGGTCTGTTCAGGAAAGATTGTGATGCCCTGAACCTGGGCCTGCTGAGGGGTGAGAGTGATGCCCTGGGCCTGGGCCTGTTCAGGAAAGATTGTGATGCCCTGAACCTGGGCCTGCTGAGGGGTGAGAGTGATGCCCAGTGCCTGGGCCTGGTCAGGGGAGATTGTGATGCCCTGAACCTGGGCCTGCTGAGTAGTGAGAGTGATGCCCTGGGGCTGGGCCTGGGCTTGCTGAGGGGTGAGAGTGATGCCCTGGGCCTGGGCTTGCTGAGGGGTGAGAGTGATGCCCTGGGCCTGGGCCTGCTGAGGGGTGAGAGTGATGCCCTGGGCCTGGGCCTGCTGAGGGGTGAGAGTGATGCCCAGTGCCTGGGCCTGGTCAGGGGAGATTGTGATGCCCTGAACCTGGGCCTGCTGAGGGGTGAGAGTGATGCCCAGTGCCTGGGCCTGGTCAGGGGAGATTGTGATGCCCTGAACCTGGGCCTGCTGAGGAGTGAGAGTGATGTCCTGGGGCTGGGCCTGGGCTTGCTGAGGGGTGAGAGTGATGCCCTGGGCCTGGGCTTGCTGAGGGGTGAGAGTGATGCCCTGGGCCTGGGCCTGCTGAGGGGTGAGAGTGATGCCCTGGGCCTGGGCCTGCTGAGGGGTGAGAGTGATGCCCAGTGCCTGGGCCTGGTCAGGGGAGATTGTGATGCCCTGAACCTGGGCCTGCTGAGGGGTGAGAGTGATGCCCTGGGGCTGGGCCTGGGCTTGCTGAGGGGTGAGAGTGATGCCCTGGGCCTGGGCTTGCTGAGGGGTGAGAGTGATGCCCTGGGCCTGGGCCTGCTGAGGGGTGAGAGTGATGCCCTGGGCCTGGGCCTGCTGAGGGGTGAGAGTGATGCCCTGGGCCTGGGCCTGCTGAGGGGTGAGAGTGATGCCCTGGGCCTGGGCCTGCTGAGGGGTGAGAGTGATGCCCTGGGCCTGGGCCTGCTGAGGGGTGAGAGTGATGCCCAGGGCCTGGGCCTGCTGAGGGGTGAGAGTGATGCCCTGGGCCTGGGCCTGCTGAGGGGTGAGAGTGATGCCCTGGGCCTGGGCCTGCTGAGGGGTGAGAGTGATGCCCTGGGCCTGGGCCTGCTGAGGGGTGAGAGTGATGCCCAGGGCCTGGGCCTGCTGAGGGGTGAGAGTGATGCCCAGGGCCTGGGCCTGCTGAGGGGTGAGAGATTTGCCCAGTGTTGGTGTCTGCGGAGGGGTGAGAGTTTTGCCCAGTGCCTGCGCTTTCTCAGAAGTGAGAGTGATGCCCTGGGTCCTGGCCTGCTGCAGGGTGACAGTGATGCCTAGCTCCTGGGCCTGTTCAGGGGTGTCAGTGATGCCCAAGGCCTGGGCCAGTTCAGGGGAGAGAGAGATGCCATGGGCCCTGGCCTGCTGAGGGGTACGAGTGATGCCCTGGGCCCTGGCCTGCTGAGGGGTAACAGTGATGCCTAGTGCCTGGGCCTGTTCAGGGGAGAGAGTGATGCCCTGGGCCTGGGCCTGCTGAGGGGTGACAGTGATGCCTAGTGCCTGGGCCTGTTCAGGGGTGTCAGTGATGCCCAGGGCCTGGGCCTGTTCAGGGGAGAGAGTGATGCCCTGGGCCCTGGCCTGCTGAGGGGTGACAGTGATGCCTAGTGCCTGGGCCTGTTCAGGGGAGAGAGTGATGCCCTGGGCCCTGGCCTGCTGAGGGGTGACAGTGATGCCTAGTGCCTGGGCCTGTTCAGAGGTGTCAGTGATACCCAGGACCTGGGCCTGTTCAGGGGAGAGAGTGATGCCCTGGGCCCTGGCCTGCAGAGGGGTAAGAGTGATACCCAGTGCCTGGGCATGTTCAGGGGTGACAGTGATACCCAGGGCCTGGGCCTGTTCAGGGGAGAGAGTGATGCCTCGTGCCTGGGCCTGTTCAGGGGTGTCAGTGATGCCCAGGGCCTGGGCCTGTTCAGGGGAGAGAGTGATGCCCTGGGCCCTGGCCTGCAGAGGGGTAAGAGTGATACCCAGTGCCTGGGCATGTTCAGGGGTGACAGTGATGCCCCGTACCTGGGCCTGTTCAGGGGTGTCAGTGATGCCCAGGGCCTGGGCCTGTTCAGGGGAGAGAGTGATGCCCTGGGCCCTGGCCAGCTGAGAGGTGAAAGTGATGCCCAGTGCCTTTGCCTGTTCAGGGGAGGGAGTGATGACCTGGGCCTGGGCCTGTTCAGGGGAGAGAGTGATGCCTAGTGCCTGGGCCTTTTCAGGAGTGACAGTGATGTTCTGGGTTTGGCCCTGCTCAAGGGTGACAGTGATGCCCTGTGCCTGGGCCTGCTGAGGGGTGACAGTGATGCCTAGTGCCTGGGCCTGTTCAGGGGTGACAGTGATGCCCAGGGCCTGGGCCTGTTCAGGGGTGACAGTGATGCCCAAGGCCTGGGCCTGTTTAGGGGAGAGAGTAATACCCTGGGCCTGGGCCTGGGCCTGGGCCTGGGTCTGCTCAGGGGTGACAGTGATGCCCAGTGCCTTCTGAAGTTCAAAAGGGATTTTCAATTTGGGGATATGTTGAAAAGTGAGAGGAGTCCTCAATGCCTGTTCCTCCACAGATGGATCAGTTACTCTCAAAACCTGAGACTTCTTAGGAGTAGGGGTACCTCCCAATGCCTGAACCTGCTGAGAGGGGGGAATGATTTCCAGGGCCTGGACCTCTTCTATAGTGGACTTTGTAGGAGACTGTCCAGAAATAGAAAAGGGCCCAAGTAAGGAAGATCTTGTGGAGGTGAGAGAAGTGATTGGTACGGAGTGCTTTTCATCAGTGATTGGTATGGAGTGCTTTTCATCAGCAAGATTTACATGGAACTCTTTTCTTTTATGTAACCGGGCTGCTTCTTTCCACATATTCTTCTGCCTGGAAGATAATGTCACTGAAGAGTGTCTTAACAGCTTTCGTAGTTCTTCAGAGATTTCCTCCTTCGTCTGCTTCTTTGCTTTTCTATACAACTGACTTTCATGGTCCCCTCCGTTTCTCGTTGGCTTCTGCTTCTCTTCCTCTTTTTCCAAACTGCTTTCCAGCTCCAGCTGTTTCACTTCCTTTTGAACCTGCCCCATCTGCTGTCCCTTTTCCTTCTCCAAGGACACTCCTTGCAATTTCATTTTTTGCCTCCATGCTTCCAGTAACTGCTGCTTTTGCTTCTGCTGCTTTTTCTCTTCCATTCGCTTTTGCTTCTCATCTTGCTCAATATGCTTTTGCATCCTCTGTTTTTGCTGTACCTCCCACACTTCTTCCTGCCCCTGATTCTGCTGCTGTTGCTCTTGCTCTCCCTCCTTCATCTGGAGCCGTGTGTTTTCCTTCTCCAAATTCTTACTTATCTTCTCATAGCTCGTCTTCCAGAGATTCCTTTCTTCTTGTGACTGGTGTTTAAGATTCATATCAAAACTTTGTTTTTGAACCTCTTGCAAATATTCCTCCCGCCTCTGTTTTTCCTTTTCTTTGTGCTCTCTCCCTGCTCTTGAGGTTACTTGAACATCTCTTTCACCTTCTATTTCATTCAAGATCATTTGTGTTAAATTTTGTATCACTGGGTCCGTGCTCTCAGATGAGAGTAAGGAGCTAATTTCAGGTTTTGCACTAACTGGCTTCTGTAAATGCAATTCTGGCATAAATGAGACTACCTTTTTTCGTTTCATAGGTTTCTCTCCAACTTGTCCTGCCTTTTTTATGTTTTTGTATTTTCTCAAGATTTTTGTCACAGTTCCAGCCACATTTTGGAAATATTCCTCCATTTTTGCCTTTATGATTCCTAATTTTTCAACTTCTGCTTGTTTTAATAACAGCTCCTCTTCTGGCACAGACGTTTTATCCAAAGGCTGTCCTGTGTTATCAATTTTCTCTTTTAAGAAAGCCATTATGGCTTCATGAAATTCTTCTAGATTACTCTGTTTACTTTTATCATATTCTGCAGTCTCGCTAGTTATCCTACGTTGTGATTTAGCAAGTGCATGATTCTTGATCTTCTTGGTAAAGACTGACAGGTCTTTCTCTTCAGTTTTTCCTTCTTTGCTTATGGTAGTTTCTGGAGAGATTTGATGTTTTTTTCCTTTTCTTTTTCCTTTCTCAGAGGAATTATCAAGTTGGATCAACCTGGTGGGCTCTGTTTGAATATCCATATCACCTTTTCTCTCTTTGTCCATTGACTTAGTGGTGGGCTTCTCTTGATTCTCTGAAGACATTTGGCTTTTCTCAAGTATATGTTCAGGTTTCATATGCCTGAGTTTTTCCCATAAACTACTTGTTTCACGTTTGCTTCCTTGGCTCTTTGTGTCAGTAGAAGGGAAATCATCAGGCACACGTTGACTTTTTGATTCAGTAAATGACTTTGATTTGGCTTCAGAAAAGGATTTTATTTTACTCTTCTCCCCCAGTGGTTGTAGCTCAAAGTGGTAATCAACTTTGGTCTCTGAGGCTATCTGTTCATCTTTCTGATCATTCAGATTTGATCTAGAGGTCTCGAACTCATTTGAGCCTTTTGTGCTCTTCCTTTGTGATTGATACTGATCAGTCCCACCTTTCTGATAGACATCATCTTTCTTCAGTGATATCATATCTTTAGTGATATCTTTGGAAAGTGTTTTCTGTTTTTTTTCAGGTAAAGAGGATTGCTGTTCAATTAAATCTGGAGTCATTTCAACTTGGGCTGTATATGAAACAGCCGAGTCCCACTTGATCCCTGAGACTTTGGTCTCTCTTCTTTGAGCCCCATCCATACTATTTTCAAATTCTTTGGCCAAAATACTGTCCATACTGTCTTCTTTCTCAGTCATGCTGATGACTATGGATGATTGTGGAGAAGACTCAGATAATACTTTCACAGTTGATGTGGGTGACACTATAGATACTTTGAATCGAATAAACTGCTCCCATTTTTCTTCTGCATCTTGAAGTTTCTGCTGAAGCATTTCATTTTCTTCACTGAGATCTTGTATTATCTTTAGGGGGATCTCTTTTTCGCTTTCACTTGTCTCACTTATATACATATTGGCATTTTGGAGGTTAATAGCTTTTACTTCATTACTTAGTAAACTCAACGCTTTAGAAAGGTTTACTATTGTTGATGACATATATTTAATAGCATTGTTTTCCAATTTATTGAACAATGCAGTACCTATGAGTTCTTGTAGCATACCTTGGATTTCTGAAACCTTTGTATTTGTTGCAAATTCATCACCAATCATCTGATGTGGTGTTAAAGCATGGGCTGTTGCAGGTCGCTTTACAACTCTTTCTTTCCAAGATTTCCATAGAGTACTTCTAGATGCTAGAAGAAAAAAAAACATAAAACAAAATGATGAGACTGCATTTAGTCTTTTGTATTGTGTTCTATCTATGTTTAAGCCTAAGAAAGTTAGCATAAATTAACACATAGCTAAAGGAAATAACTAAGATAATTGCTCATCAAATACAGCATACCAATAAAGAGACAGAAATATGAAAAACCAAGTGAAAAAAAATTGAGCTGAAGAATGTAATAACTAAAATGAAAAAAACAGCCAAAAGGGCTCAACAGAAATTTGAATTAACAGAAGAAATAACAAGCAAACTTGATGCTAGATTAGTAGAAATTGTCTAATCTGCAGAGCAGGGAGAAGAAAACAGAAAGAAAAATAAACAAAGCCTCAGAGACTTGTGGAACACCATTAAGCATACTGATTTACAAATAATAGAAGGCCCAGAAGAAGAGGAGGGAGGAACATTAAAAGTATTTGAAGAAGTGCCTTGGCCAGTGTGGTTCAGTTGATTGAGCATTGTCCCATGCACTGAGAGGTCACCAGTTTGATTCCTAGTCAGGACACATGCCTGGAATATTGGGCTTGATCCCTAGGAGGGGGCATGCAGGAGGCAGCTGATCAATGTTTCTCTCTCATCAATATTTCTCTATTTCTCTCTCTTCCTCACTTTTCCTCTCTCTCTAAAATAATAAAAACAGCCTGGCCGGTGTGGTACAGTGTTGTACAGTGGTTGAGTGTCAACCCATGTGCCGAGAGATTGCCAGTTCAATTCCCAATCAGGGCACATGCCCAGGTTGTGGGCCCAATCCCCAGTTGGGAGCATGCAGGAGGTGGCCAATAGATGTTCTCTCTCACTGATATCTCTGTCTCTGCCTTTTCCTTTCCTCTCTCTCTAAAAAAAAAAAAAAAAAAAAAACAATAAAGAAAAAAATTAAAAATAAATAAAAACATTTTTAAAAAGTATTTAATGAAAATTATTCATCAAATCATCCAAAATTTGCTGGAAAACATTAAGCTACACATTCAAGAAACTCAGTGAACTTTAAATAGGACAAACACAAAATAATTCATACCTAGACACATCATAGTCAAACCATTGAAAGCCAGACAAAGAGAGAATCTTTACAGAAAAAAGAGATGGTGATGGGAAAAATTAAAATAAATAGATAAAATGAAATAAAGACACACACAAAAAAGAGAAAAATGATTCATCATGATCAAAAGAGACTCATCAAGTACAGGGGGACTACAGTTCACTCTTTATTAGAAACAATGGAGACCAGAAGGCAGCAGAATGATATATTCAAAATGCTGAAAGAATTATACTGCTAACCAAGAATTCTATGTCCAGCAAAACTATTCAAAATATGAAGGTAAGACATCTATTCGCTGAAATAACACTCTTCCCAAAGTAGCATGCATTTACAATTCTTTTATTTTTTTATTATTTTGTTTTATTTGTATTGGTTTTTATTTATTTATTTGTTCATTATATCTTTATTGTTGAATGTATTACAGATGTTCCTCATTTTTCCCCCATTGAACACCTCCTCCTCACTCCCACCCCCCTCCTGCCTTTTCGCATACTGTTGTCTATGTCCATTGGTTATGCATATAAGTTCTTTGGTTTATTTCTTCCCACTCCCAACCCGCCTTCCCTTTGAGGTTTGTCAGTCTAGCAACCAATTTGTACTTGTTTTTTTTATCCTCACCTGAGGACATTTTTTTCATTTTTTGTTCAGATAGAGTGGGAGGAAGAGAGAGGAAGAGAGAGAAACATCGACATGAAGGGGACACATCGAGCGGCCACCCACACGACCAACCAGGGCCGGGGACAAACTGCAACCGAGGTACGTGCCCTTAGCAGGAACCGAACCTGGGTCTCTGGGGACTGCAGGCCGATGCTCTAACCATTGAGCCAAACCGGCCAGGGCTGTTTGTTCACATTTTTATCTTTTTCTTCAAGAAGACCCTTCAACATTTCATATAATAATGATTTGGTGGTGATGAACTCCTTTAGTTTTTCCTTGTCTGGAAAACTCGTTGTAATTTGCAATTGTCTAATGACAGATGACACTGAGCATCTTTTCATATGCTTACTTGCCATCTATATATCTTTTTTTTTTTTATTAAAGTTGTACATGTGTGCTACTATGAAAGAGTATTATTTCAGGGAATGAATGTTATATTCTTGAAAAACATTTTTAAAAATCAGTGATTGCCAAGAGCTTGGGGAGAGAACAGAAAGATGAATAGGTGAAACACAGGTTTTTTTAGAATGGAGAAACTATTCTGTATGATACTGTAATGGTGGACACATGATAATATACATTTATCAAACCCCATATAACCCTACAGCACAAAGAGCAAAACAATATGTGCATAGGAGATCAAGGGATCGCAGGAAGGAATACAGACCGACTGTGATAAGAGAATCTAACTGCATTAGAAATGTGTGATGCAACCTCACTGAAAGGGATGGGGAGAAAGGTGCTGACCTAAGTAACTGAAAATGAATAGAACCTGTAAGTCGGAAGGCAAAAATAACTGTAGATAAGTACTATACTCTAATTGGTAAGTTGTTTCCCATGGGAATGTGGGTTAATAATTTGATACTGCTATACCTGTATACTGGAATTCAATAATTAAGTAAATGGATGGCAGATGGTAGGAGCATGTTTGTCATTGTTTGAATAGGGATTTACAAATAAGCAAGGGGAGGGAGCTACAAAGATCTATGTGATAATGGATTAGAGCTAGAGACATTAATAAGAACTCATGTTTAGCTTACTAGAGTTACAGATGATTATATAGGTAAATATTTACAGATATGTGTATATTCAAGGCTTTGTACACAAACATGTTTTGTTTTTTTTTTTGTCAGATGAGACGGCCAAACTGAAATGACACCCCAGTAGCAATGAGCACATCAAGCAGCCAAACCTTGGTTTTTAATACTATTCTCTAATAAAAGGAACCAGAACTCTTGGAGAAAATTCTAAAACTGGGGTAGGAAATATTCAAGATTAACCTGAATTATCTTGTAGTGCCAGAAAATAATAAAGTACTAAAAAAGGTAAAAGAAAAAATTATATTGATGTGGGTATGTCAAAGGGCACAGGAGCCAACTGAAAGAGATCCAAATAGCCAAAGCTAGAATAATTTGAGCAAGAAAATAAGTAGTATTAGATTATAACCCAAAGCACAAAGTAAATATCTGAGTTCATTTTTTAAAATGTGTTTTTATTGATTTTTTTAGGGAGAGAAAGAGAGAGAAACATTGATGTGAAAGAGAAACACCAATTGCTGCCTCCTGCACACCCCGACTGGGGATTGAACTCCTAACCTGGGTATGTGCCCTGACTGGGAATTAAACTGACAACCTTTCAGTGCATGGGATGACACTCCAACTAACTGAGTCACACTGACCAGGACTTACATGGAACATTTTAAAAGATAAATCATATACTAGGCTACGTACTACCCCAACCAGGGCCAGGGATGAACCACAACAGAGGTACATGCCCTTGGCTGGAGTCAAACCCAGGACTCTTTGGTCTGAGGGCTGATGCTCTAACTGCTGAGCCAAACCGGCCAGGGCATTTATATATTTATATATTTATTTATTTCTCTCACCATTTATCCTCCCTATATCCTCCTCCACCTCCACCCAATCCCCTTCCCCTGCAATCACCACACTGTTGTGCATGTCCATGAGTTATTTCTCTTTTTTCTCTATTCTTTCTTTCTTTTTTGTTACTCCTCACCTGATTTTCCCCCCAATGATTTTTAGAGTGAGGAGGGAGGAAGGGAGGTGGGGGAGAGAGAAAGATTGATGTAAGAGAGACACATCAATTGGTTGCCTCTTGCACATGCCTCACCAGACAGAGATTGAACCTGCAACCCAGGTACGTATCATCGGTCCATGGGCCAACATTCTAACCACTGAGCCACACCAGCCAGAGCTTCTGTTTTTTCTTTTCTATTTTTAAAATTAATCTATTATTTTGTTGTTGTTGTTGTTGTTATAGATGTCCCTTCTTTTTCCCCCATTGACACCCTCCTCCCCGCCCCTGTCCCACCCCCACCTTCACAGTACTGTTGTCTGTGTCCATTGGTTATGGATATATGCATATAATTTCTTTGGTTTATCTCTTCCTGCCCTCTCACCGCACCCCTCCCCCCGGAGGTTTGTCAATCTGTTCCCTGCTTTTATGCCTCTGTGTCTATTTTGTTCATCAGCTTATTTTGTTCATTATATTCCACAAATAAGTGAGATTATGTGGTATTTGTCTTTCTCTGATTGGCTTATTTCACTTAGCATAATACTCATCGGTCCTTCCATGTCATCTCAAAGGGCAAGAGATCTTTCTTCTTTACAGTTGCATAGTATTCCATTGTGTATATGTACCACAGCTTTTTTATCCATTTGTCTACTGATGGGCACTTGGGCTGTTTCCAGATCTTAGCTATTGTAAATAGTGCTGCTATAAACATAGGGGTGCATATATTCTTTCTGCTTGGTGTTTCAGGCTTCTTAGAATATATTCCTAAAAGTGGAATAACTGGGTCAAATGGCAGTTCCATTTTTAATTTTTTGAGGAAACTCCATATTGTTTTTCATAGTGGCTGCCCCAGTCTACATTCCCACTAGCAGTGTACTAGAGTCCCCTTTTCTCCACACCCTGACCAGTATGTGTTGTTTGATGATTTGTTGATGGCAGCTATTCTGGCAGGTGTGAGGTGACACGTCATCGTTGTTTTGATTTGCATCTCTCTGCTGATTAGTGACATTGAGCATTTTTTCATGTCTCTTGGCCATTTGTATGTCCTCTTTGGAGAAGTGTCTATTTAGGTCCTCTTTTTAGTTGGATTGTTTGTCTTCCTTTTGTTGAACTGCATGAGTACTTTATATATTTTGGATGTTAACCCTTTATCTGATGTATCATTAGCTACGTGTGATATCTGAGATTTTGCTGCCTACATTTTATTTTCTTCTCGGATTTTTATGGCTTCGTGACTTCCATTA